TTAGCCCAACGTGTCTGCTGTATCTTGCATTAATTGTTGCTAAGTGCTTCCGACCTTGTCCGTTATAGCTACTAGATCAGGAAGTGCTTCATAATTTTAATCCCTAGAACAAAGATCCAAACAGACCAATCATGTGCCAACTAGTCAACATAGATTCAACCCATTTGTATTAGGCAGCTGATGGAAGAATAAGAGGAACAAACTAGAGTGAAGAAGGAAGCATAAGAGTATTATTTCTATCCCAGTGTTTGAAGTAGCAGCACCAGCCACACTGGAGGAGTCTAGGACCTAGCTCTACACATAGCTTGTCTGGTCACCGTTTTGTACGTTTTAACGTTCAACTCCCTTTTCCCCTTCTTTTGCAAAAGCCTCCTGTTGAATCAGTCACTTGGGAGTCCAACATTGTATTTTTGAAAAACAAATCATCCATTTACTGTTCATGAAAAAAAGATTATAACAATAAGACCAGGAAATACAACACAATTATCTCCAAAATTGTTTATTTCTACTCTCTGCAATATAGTTGTTATATATTACAGAACCTGATACTTATCAGGGTACAAATAGCACTCTAGAATCTGATGTAAAACAATGTACCAGTAGCACTATAGAACCTGACACTCATATCAATGTATAAATAGTTCTGAAGAACCCACCCTCGAAATTCCAGGGGTTATATTCTTTCTCTCACATTCTCTGTACTTCTGGAATTATAAAACCGAAGGCTTTGTATGTGCCACCTTTTGGATGATGAAAGTAGAGTTCTTTTATCTGTTGATGTACATTGATGAATCACACGGCAGTATATGGGTTAAATTGACCAGCTAAGTAATTTGTCAGATGTAGATTTTTTATTTTTTTTTACCTGAAACCAATCAAAAAGCTTATTGCTTGCCTTCGATTTTGCGATGACATACTCCAGGGTTGTAAAGAACAAAGTGAGTGTAACCCCTGGAATTTCGGGGATGTAAAGAACCTGACAAGTATTAATGTATAAATAGCACAACAGAACCGGTCATATCAACGTACAAACAGCAATTCAGAACCCAATACATATCAACGTACAAGCAACACTATAGAACCTGACATGCAATAAGTTACTTAGTAGTAGGAAGTCCAATCAATCATGGTTCATTTCCTTAGCACACTATTTAAACATATCATAATGGGCTTACATACATTTTCAATAAGATTCATCCGTTTGGAAATATGTAATATCAAAGTTTAACTTTTTACACAAACACTGTATGTATGAAACTTGTCGAAAAGTTTCAAGACTGATAGGTCCCGATTCCAACTCGAAGCTTGACAAACGGACAAATTGATCTTGAAACATTACGACACGTTTAATACACTTAATACACGTACATTGTATACTGTAAAACTGTGATATTGGGTTTACTAAACCAGTCTTATTGTAGGGACCTGAATACATACTGTAAAACTGTGATATTGGGTTTACTAAACCAGTCTTATTGTAGGGACCTGAATACATACTGTAAAACTGTGATATTGGGTTTTCTTATATTCTGACTATCCTCCCTTTCACAATAATCAAACCAATCTTATTGTAGGGAGCTGAAAACATACTGTAAACCTGTGATATTGGGTTTACTTATATTCTGACTATCCTCCTTTTCACAATAATCAAACCAGTCTTATTGTAGGGAGCCGAATACATACTGTAAAACTGTGATATTGGGTTTACTTATATTCTCACTATCCTCCCTTTCACAATAATCAAACCAATCTTATTGTAGGGAGCTGAAAACATACTGTAAACCTGTGATATTGGGTTTCCTTATATTCTGACTATCCTCCCTTTCACAATAATCAAACCAATCTTATTGTAGGGAGCTGAAAACAAACTGTAAAACTGTGATATTGGGTTTACTTCTATTCTGACTATCCTCCCTTTCACAATAATCAAACCAATCTTATTGTAGGGAGCTGAAAACAAACTGTAAAACTGTGATATTGGGTTTACTTCTATTCTGACTATCCTCCCTTTCACAATAATCAAACCAATCTTATTGTAGGGAGCTGAAAACAAACTGTAAAACTGTGATATTGGGTTTACTTATATTCTCACTATCCTCCCTTTCACAATAATCAAACCAATCTTATTGTAGGGAGCTGAAAACATACTGTAAAACTGTGATATTGGGTTTACTTATATTCTGACTATCCTCCCTTTCACAATAATCAAACCAATCTTATTGTAGGGAGCTGAAAACAAACTGTAAAACTGTGATATTGGGTTTACTTCTATTCTGACTATCCTCCCTTTCACAATAATCAAACCAATCTTATTGTAGGGAGCTGAAAACAAACTGTAAAACTGTGATATTGGGTTTACTTATATTCTCACTATCCTCCCTTTCACAATAATCAAACCAATCTTATTGTAGGGAGCTGAAAACAAACTGTAAAACTGTGATATTGGGTTTACTTATATTCTCACTATCCTCCCTTTCACAATAATCAAACCAATCTTATTGTAGGGAGCTGAAAACATACTGTAAAACTGTGATATTGGGTTTACTTCTATTCTGACTATCCTCCCTTTCACAATAATCAAACCAGTCTTATTGTTGGGAGCTGAATACATGAACAAATTTCATAAATTTTGAATCTTCAAATCTACTAAATTTGGAAGTAATTGGCAAAGTGAATTTCAAGAAGTCAAGATATTAAAAGTTTATAGAAAATAGATGGCATTGCTCACTCAGCCTTTTGGGCCAGGCGAGCTAAACAATAAATACATTCATGGTCATCAACATGATTTCATTAAACCATTATATACATGCACAAACATTTTCAAAATTCCCATTCATGATCATGGTTGACAGACATTCAGAATGAGACAATAAGATAGAATTTGTATAATATTTACAAACGAGTGCCACAGTCTACTGATCAAACGAGTGCCACACTGTCTGCTGATCAAACGAGTGCCACACTGTCGTCTGATCAAACGAGTACCACACTGTCTACTGATCAAACGAGTGCCACTGTCTACTGTTCAAACGAGTGCCACCCTGTCTACTGATCAAGCGAGTACCACACTGTCTACAGATCAAACGAGTGCCACTGTCTACTGTTCAAACGAGTGCCACCCTGTCTACTGATCAAACCAGTGGCACACGGTCTACTTATCAAACGAGTGCCACCCTGTCTACTGATCAACAGAGTGCCACACTGTATACTGATCAAACGAGAACCACACTGCCTACTGATCAAACGAGACCCACTCTGTCTACTGATCAACAGAGTGCCACACTGTATACTGATCAAACGAGCGCCACACTGTCTACTGTTCAAACGAGTGCCACACTGTCTACTGATCAAACGAGTACCACACAGTCTACTGATCAAACGAGTGCCACACTGTCGTTTGATCAAACGAGTACCACTGTCTACTGATCAAACGAGTACCACACTGTCTACTGATCAAACGAGTGCCACAGTCTACTGATCAAACAAGTGAAACAGTCTACTGATCAAACAAGTGCCACACTGTCTACTGATCAAATCGATCTGAAATTTCATTAAAGATTTCCTTTGTTCAGCAATCAAATACAGTAAAATTGAACATCACATCAGGCTTTTGTTAGCTGTCTTAAAAGGTTAGAGTCACCCCTTTATTTCCTTCACCCTCATCTAATCCCACTTACAGTACAACTACACAAAGTTCAAGGTCATCCCCATGATGTATAGTGTTGCTTTGTTGTGATACACTGTATCTGTAGAAAATAACTGAACACATGTGTTTATTTTAATAGGAACTGCACAGATATTCAATTTAGATCTTCTGGTAAGAACATCACCACATCACTCAATCATCAAACACTTCAGCTGGGGACAGATTTGCTTATGTCAAAGACCTTACTATTAAATATACAATGCATTTTAAAAATTTCAATTGATAACTGTTTTATGTACATATTTCATTGACAAGTTAACATTTAACATCAGTTTATCTGTTAGCCCTGTTACATTACCTACAGACAGGAGGCAGCCCTGTCTGAGATGTTCCATTACTGACGGTACAGTCTCAGTCTGTACTTTCCTACGACAATAGATTACACATCAGGGTAGGTGGTGAATTCTCAGACTGTACAATCCTATGTCAACATAACACATCAGGGTTGGTGGTGAATTCTCTGTCCGTTTCAGTCTTAAGACAAAACAGACTATACAAGCCAGGGTAGGCAGTGATACCTCAGTCTGTACAATCCTATGTCAATATTACACGCCAGGGTAGGCAGTGATACCTCAGTCTGTACAATCCTATGTACATGTTACACATCAGGGTAGGCAGTGATACCTCAGTCTGTACAATCCAATGTCAATATTACACACCAGGGTAGGCAGTGATACCGCAGTCTGTACAATCCTATGTCAATATTACACATCAGAGTAGGCAGTGATACCTCAGTATGTACAATCCTATGTCAATATTACACATCAGGGTAGGCAGTGATACCTCATTCTGTACAATCCTATGTCAATGTTACACATCAGGGTAGGCAGTGATACCTCAGTCTGTACAATCCAATGTCAATATTACACACCAGGGTAGGCAGTGATACCTCAGTCTGGACAATCCTATGTCAATATTACACACCAGGGTAGGCAGTGATACCGCAGTCTGTACAATCCTATGTCAATATTACACATCAGAGTAGGCAGTGATACCTCAGTATGTACAATCCTATGTCAATATTACACATCAGGGTAGGTGGTGATACCTCAGGCTGTACAATCCTATGTCAATATTACACACCAGGGTAGGCAGGGAAACCTCAGTCTGTACAATCCTATGTCAATATTACTCATCAGGGTAGGCAGTGATACCTCAGTCTGTACAATCCAATGTCAATATTACACACCAGGGTAGGCAGTGATACCGCAGTCTGTACAATCCTATGTCAATATTACACATCAGAGTAGGCAGTGATACCTCAGTATGTACAATCCTATGTCAATATTACACATCAGGGTAGGTGGTGATACCTCAGGACTGATGACATAATAAGCAATTACTTCAATCAGTCCATATTTGTTTCTAGTGAATCACTGTCTCAATATAACTATACAACATGACTGCTATGATGATGAACCGGGTTTGCATGGAGACATTTTCTCCAGTTTAGGTTTTATGTCACCGATTTCTTCCTTGCCTTCAGTCATTTCTACGTCTTTGGTAACCTCTCCCTTGACTTTTTCAGTTTCTACCTTGTGCTGTGCATTCCATTCCAAACATTTCCTGATTTCCAAACCAATGGCCTTAGCCATAGGAGGTGGTACTGCATTACCAACCTGTAACAATTAACAGTCCTATAGTGTGTAAAAAGTTTAGAGTTTTCATTAAAAGCCAGTTGCCAGTGCTATTCATCAGTTTGAACCATTTTTGTTTTCTTCAGAATATGTATAGGTCAACAAAATAGCATGTGAACACTGGCTACCATTTCAAGATAAGCATCTATTCAAAAACTTATTGAGAACACTAATAAGTTACTGAAACATTTCAATACATGTTCCCTATCACTATTACTGAATCCTATTGAAATAAATATTAAAATAAATATTGCAGATCAATTTAGTATCTTAAATATCCCCAAGAAAAGGCACTGAAGCAAAGTCTAGGTTCAATATTGTCATCTTGTGCAGTGGGCTAAAGTTTGCAAATTCCTTTCCCAAAATGCAGGGGTACAGAAGATATGGCCAGACAAGCATTAGGATACAATCTTTAAAACCCTTAAGATACTTTAACATGTAAACATGTATCACAAGGTATCGCCTTATTCTGATCCTAATTGACCACTTCTGAACATTCACATATACAGCATAACAGAAGGAAGCACAGAATGGATTCTGGTTTCTGGTTAACTCCCTCCTAACTTCTCTGGGGAAGGTTACTTACAAATATGGACAAAGGACCAAAGCTCTGTATATAGAAGACATGAGACCTAATTTTAGTATGTAACACTTTGCCATCCACAGAGAAAGAGATGAACGAACAGGTTGAGAGAAGGAGAGCAAACCCATAGTCCCCATTCCTAAAGGATCATCCCTGTCTAGTTGGGCTGAAATGGGTGCAGTGATTTTTGAGAAGTGCAGAAGTAAAAATTCTTAAAGATGACAGATGCCAGGTCACAGCAAAAGCTTGGATGGTCATTTGGGCCAAGAGTCCAAAATAGATAACTGGGGTTCTGGCCTTCCATTGTACTATACAAAGAACTGGGGTTCTGGCCTAAATCTACACTCTACAGGTGGTCGGGTGGTGCAGTGGATAGTGCATTTGCCTTTCACCAAGGCGACCGGGGTTCGATTCCCCAATCGGACGTGAAAAGGTATTGGGGGTCACCTGCCCGACCACATGGGTTTTCTCTGGGTCCTCCAGTCCCTCCCACACTAAGAGCTCTTTATCATATTAATCACTCTTGTTGGGCCGGATGTTACCGCCAACAACAGTGATTTATGATTTATATAAGTTAAAATAACTTGTATCATAATTGTTGTAAAATAAAAGTTGATATCTATATTTTCTACACTCAACTATATAAAATGCTGAGATTCTAGACTATATGAAGTGTTAAGGCTCTGACCTACACCGCTCCAACATAAACATTTGTTTAAATTTTGTTATTATGACGAGTGATATTACCTGTCTGTGACGGTCAAGGATGTTACCAAAGAAGCGGTAGGTATCTGGGAATCCCTGGGACCGGGCACACTCCCTCACACTGACCACTCGGTGCTGCTCCGGGTGTAACACACGACCCTAGAATGTATATAAACATGTGGTACAATCGTATAACAAGCTAGGATGGCTTCATAAAGAAAATCCTCTTAAAAACACACGCCAGACTGCTGCTGTCTGTAATGTCTTTTTCTGTTGATAATGAACCCTTTGAAGTGTGTTTTACAATTAATGACAATAATTATATATCTTCAGTTATCCCCATTAAAAGGAAATGACTCTTGTCCAACAAGTTTGGAACATGATGAAAGGGAGTGTCTTTGTATATTGTGCTATCAAGTTTCATCAGAATCAAATGATATGCAAGCAAGTTATTTTTAAATATCCTGTCAAAATTAAGATTTAAAATTGAAATTGGTGCGGAATGCTATTGTGGCGACTTTTAACATTTGTTGTATATACGTAGTCAAATAAGGATCATGAAGAGGAGAACTACTGTATGGTATATATTTATAATCTACCTGGTTGTCTATGGGATTTAACTACAACTTACCTGTTTGTCTATGGATTTAACTGCAACTTACCAGTTTGTCTATGGGATTTAACTACAACTTACCGGTTTGTCTATTGGATTTAACTACAACTTACCTGTTTGCCTATGGGATTTAACTACAACTTACCAGTTTTTCTATGGGATTTAACTACAACTTACCTGTTAGTCTATGGGATTTAACTATAACCTGCCGGTTTGTCTATGGATTATAAGTATATCCTACCTGTTTGCCCCTGGGTTATAATAATTACCTTCCTGTTTATCCATTGATATAACTATGACCTACCTGTTTATCCATTGATATAACTATAACCTACCTGTTTGCCCATGGGTTATAACTATAACCTACCTGTTTGCCCATGGGTTAAAACTATGACCTACCTGTTTGCCCATGGGATATAACTGTAACCTACCTGTTTGCCCATGGGTTATAACTATAACCTACCTGTTTGCCCATGGGTTATAACTATAACCTACATGTTTGCCCATGGGTTAAAACTATGACCTACCTGTTTGCCCATGGGTTCAGGATTGGTGACAGTGGTGGAAAAGAATCCGTCCCACTCCAGCCGTCCGTACAGCCCGGACCAGTTGTTGTGGCGGTTACCAGTGTGGGGGAGACACCAGGGGATTACAGTGTTGAATTGGCGGTCCATTGTCTCACAGGCTTTCCCCTCAGCACATGAACACACACCCCTCAGATTGCCCTTACTGCTCTTTCCCTTCTGCTTGTCATGATGGATATACCGTCTGTCAGTAATCAATAACAGGTAAGTAATATGTCGGTATACCATTTGTCAGTAGTCAACAACTGGTAAGTGATTTGTTTGGAAATATCCCCCCATTATTTCTAAAATATCCTGTCAATTATGGTAATTTTTCAAATGAAGATATTTTAACTTGAGTACTATATGACACACTGTAAATCTGTTAAATCTAACACTACTATAAATTTGTTAAGTGATACATAAACATTGCTATGTAAGGATACAAACATTCAGTGATGACCAGTAAAACTACCTCCATTCTGAATATTCTTCTTACAGTTTTTTAGTCTTGGTGCCATCGGAGAGCCTGATTTCCAGGTTAGGGAGTGAGCGCCAGTCTGAACCTGGGGCCAGGGGGATGTGCTGCATACGGGTGTGGACAAGGGCTGACATCTCTTTACAAATGTGGTCCCTCAGGATAGGCTGGTGCTGCTTCCCTCGAATCTACAACAGGGCAAAGTAAAGGTAAGATCCAGGGGACAGGATAGGCCACTCAATATCACAACCAGGGCATGGGGACATCATTTAAGATTAAAATGAAGATTCCTTGGAGGTCAAGGTCAGTGTTAATGTTATTCTACCTGTTTCTGGAAATGTGATTGGGCATCCCCTTGGTAGGAGATTTCCTCCCCCTTTGCTCCATTGCGGATCTCCGGTAGATCTGACATTGAGTCCCGAACAGTGATTGTCCGGAAAGGTGCAGACTCCATCCTCGTAATGTTAGAGTTAAACTGAAACAGAGGTCACATCATTCTTATAACAGGTCAGAGGTAACAACAGGTCAATGGGCTGAATCAATATGGAACAAGTAGTAATTGTAATGGGGGACCATTACAGAAGTCCCCAAAACTGCCCCAGGTCGCAAAGATGCATCAGAAAAGAATTGAATGCCATAAAACACCTACATACTAAATTTGGGTGTAATCGAACAATATCTGAATTTCAACCAATCAGAAGCCTCTGTGTGGTTGCTATGGCAACGAAACCCATGTGGTTGAATTCGCAGTCCCCTATTACCCTTATATACCAATTTCCATCAAAATCGAACAATATCTAAATTTCAAGAGGGCCTGTATCGCTCACCTGAATATTTAGGCAGTCATAGCAAAATATTCTCATTAAATATTATATTGCACTAAAAATATTTCCCTTGCAAACTTTGTTGGCTCCATCTGTTGAAACTACCAGCAGAATATTATTACAAGATTCTATGCTTTTTGATTCTTCATTAGTTGCTTGACATATTTTTCCCTGTGACCTTGTAAGTAGGTCAATGTAATTTTCCTTCTTATATTGGTTAGCTCTATTCCAAAAGCTACCAGCCAAATCTATGAATCCATTCCTTTTAGTTCTTAAGAACAAATCCATTAAAATGTTGTTGACCTTTGTGACCTTGAAAGTAGGTTGAGGTCACTTTCATTCGCAAACTTTGTTGGGCTCTTTCCCAGGAAATAACCAGTCGAATATTAAGGTTCTATAACTTCCAGTTCCTCAGAAGAAGTCATTTGAAGTGTTTGACATATCTACCTCATGTGACCTTAAAAGTAGGTCAAGATCATTTTATTCTCAAACTTTGTTGGGCTCTTTCCTAGGAAGCTACAAGCCAAAATGAAGATTCTATACCTATCAGTTGTTCAGAAGAATTGAAGCTTTTGACACATTTGACCCCTGTGACCTTGAAAGTAGGTCAAGGTAATTTTCATTCTCAAACTTTGTTAAGCTCCATCCCAGGAAGCCATCAGCCAAATATGAAGAAACGGAGTCAACACAATGTCCCCCTCACTCCGTTTGGGGTACATAACTAAACAATTGTCAGACATGGCAAAAATAACAAGATGAAATCGAAGAACATATTTGACTCAATATTGTTTATATGTTAAAACCTTTCTCTCATCGACTTGTACAGACAACTGCATGGCCCGTGGAGCAAACACATGTAAGGGTTCTGGGTAGAAAGGTAACTTGTGTCCAGGGGCTGCTGCCAGAATGATTGCCCTGTAAAATATAAGAAGACATTTATGTTACATTAAATAGGCTAAGCTGGATTAGATACTAGTGTACTTCAAAAGTCATACTAAACTGCAAACTTACAGATTTAAACATGGATCAATTGAATCAGTCATAGCTGGCACATTTAACCCCTGTCACACTAGGGCCGCGTTCCCATGGCGTCCAAGAAAAATCCAGAACGCTGATCTACGCGCAGTGGAATTGCAAGCATCGCCAAGAGACGGTGTGCACTTTGAGCATGCCCAAAACAAACACCGTTGCTCTGCGTTCTGATCAGTGGGACCCCCGTGAGGTCGCCATAGCAGCATAGTTAGGTCTCCTACAACGCCACAGGCGCGCTCAGATGTCGCAGCGATAACGCAACCGTTATCGGTGGCGCTTGCAAAGCGTTCTCCGAGATGACACTGCGTCTCTACCGCGCCGTGACAACTTGATGCACGCTGTGAAAAATATCAATTTTTCCTGCGATCTGATGGCACTCTGGGAAATTTAACAATGCTGTGCAATCGCAGTGGCAACGCCGCTAGGTGTGACGTGACAGGGCTTTTAGCAGATATCCTGTGTCACTGTCTCACCTCCTGCAGGTCTAAGATGTAGACATAGATCCAGACTACTGTCTCACCTACTGTGGGTCTGATAAGACCCAGACCAGTCTCACCTGTTGGTCTGGTAAGACCCAGACCAGTGCCATAATGTCTTACCTTCTGCGGGTCTGGGCCACTCCATAGCTACCGGCTTGTAAGACTCCAAATGTACACTGGTAGCCCATCCGAGTCAAGCAACGCAGTGCCAGCTTCAGCACCATGCTACGCTTGTAAGACACAAAATTCCTCACATTCTCCAACAAGAAGTAGCGGGGTCGGTAGTAGTCACAATAAGACAAGTAGGAGGCAATCAGCGAGTTCTGTACAGGTGAAAATTCATAGTTTTACAGTGGAATAGATAGTCTATTAGAACAGGTGTAAAGTTCTGGGGTACAATGGCAAGAAGTTGGTTGTACAGTGGAAATAATTCTTTCTACATCAAATGACAATATTTATACATATATTTATATGTAGCTAAATATTTTGGTTATTCATTAGGCCAAATAAAATTAATTACTTGGTTCTCAGGCCAATTTTTTTCAAAATAGATGCGGCAGGGCGGTATTTTTTTCCTTCATTTTTCAAGGCAAAAACGAGACGAGGGCGATTTTTTTTTATTGTGTAGTTTGTAAAACGTTCATTGTGGGCATTACCTTGTCTTTTTATAGTTGTGTAGAGATCCGTCATAGAGCAAGCCTCCGAAAATCCCCCTACGATGTTCCAGACGCGAATCACAAACCCCCCCATTCCTTATTTGTACCAAAATGAGCGTCATTTGTACACAAGACTAATAAGTCATAATCATTTTAACGCTTGCCTGTATCTCAATCCTTACCTTTATTCAAACGTTTTCGGGACTTGGGTGACTAACGAGTAAAAACGACATGCAGACCAATTTTCCGGATTTTTCTTTTAAGATGGCGGCTGGCGCATTCACAATTTTTTTAAAAATACTTTCACGATAAAATCGGCAATGGGCACGGTGCCATGAGATGCGCACGGGCCTGAGAACCAAGTAATCTTTTTTTTTTGGCCTTATCAACCAGCAACTGTCACAAAATCCAGTTAATTCAACCGAGAATCAACCACTCACCTTGTCCTTGGAAGTCAACCACTCACCTTAAATTTTGAGTAGTCGCGGCTGTTGAACCTGTTCATACCACTGAATCCCTGGCATGGAGGCCCACCACACAGTAGTTCTACATCTCCCTTCTGTGGTAACTTCTGGCCTCGGTCATTGGTTGTCTCCCCCTAGGTACGCAGAACAATAGCAGGAGATTTATCTATGTGCATATCACCTGAATATTAAGATCGGTGTTAATATAATTGTGTCCTGTATAGTGAGATACTCCTATTGTGCAGAGTGGATTATGATACTTGTGTCTTGTACAATGGTGATGTATTTTGTGTCCTGTAGAGTAGTAAATGTGTTTGCTAAGTGAGTATGATACTCACATCTATGACCAGCCTTAGCAGCATGTTACAGTCGTCTGTGAACACTTCACATCCAGGGTTGTTGAGCCTGAATGCCTGAGCAGCAGGCTCCTCCTTCTCTATGGCCCAGCGACTCTCTGACATACCGGCCTGATGGAAACCCTCAGACAAGCCTATCATATAAAACAGTCTTCAATTATCACCACATCACTTAAAACTTTCTCTAAATTGTTAAAAAAATGCACATTACATTTTACAACTTTATATAATTATAACAATACTATACAGCAATTTAATTTTAAGGGTAATAAACTTGAGTCATCTTATTAACCAATGATATTAATAGGTTTGTAATCAAAGAATAACAGTAAGCAAGCTCTTGCCTCCACATCCAGCGAATACATCCAGGCAGCGAAGCCTCTGAAAGTCCACTTGTTTCTCCTCTGTAGTGTCAGCTACCACTGCTGAACTCTTCCCTTTACCTTTACCCTTGCCTTTCCCCTGTAAACAGTGGAGACAATGAAATCTCTCTTGTTGTTTATTTGTTCAAACCTTGTGTGTTATCCATACAATGTCAACCTAGGCAAGTGGTCCAGGGTCACTGGTTATATCTGGCTCGTTGACAAACAATATGCCTATCACTTACATTCAAAGGTAAGATGCCAATGCTTAAGACAGTCAGGGAATCTTGTGTCCGAGTAACATGTCCCAATACTAAGGAAAGTCAGGCATTTTTGTGTCCGAGTGATGTTGTGTTGCTAAGTACAGTGAAGGAGTCTTATGTCTGAGTGATGTGTTGTGTTGCTATATCTAAGGACAGTGAAGGAGTCTTGTGTCTGAGTGATGTGTTGTGTTGCTATATCTAAGGACAGTGAAGGAGTCTCATGTCTGAGTGATGTGTAGTGTTGCTAAGGACAGTAAGGGAGTCTCGTGTCCGAGTGATGTGTTGTGTTGCTTAGGACAGTGAAGGAGTCTTGTGTCTGAGTGATGTGTTGTGTTACTAAGGACAGTGAAGGAGTCTTATGTCTGAGTGATGTGTTGGGTTGCTAAGGACAGTGAAGGAGTCTTATGTCTGAGTGATGTGTTGTGTTGCTAAGGACAGTAAGGGAGTCTTGTGTGCGAGTGATGTGTTGTGTTGTGTTGCTATATCTAAGGACAGTGAACGAGTCTTATGTCTGAGTGATGTGTAAAGTTGCTAAGGACAGGAAGGGAGTCTCGTGTCCGAGTGATGTGTTGTGTTGCTAAGGACTTAGGGAGCCTTGTGTCGGAGTAATGTCTCACGATACTAAGGACAGTCCAGGAGCTTTGTGTCCGAGTGATGTGTTGTGTTGCTTATGAACGTCAGGGGCCTTGTGTCAGAGTAATGTGTCCAATACTAAGGAAAGTCAGGCATTTTTGTGTCGGAGTGATGTGTCTTGCTGCTGGTGAAAGTCAGGGAGCCTTGTGTCCGAGTGAAGTGTCGTGTTGCTAAGAACAGTCAGGAAGTCAGGTGTCCGTGATGTGTCACATAATTTAACACACATTTACATATCACAGTGTATCACTATGTGAAATTTCAAATCTCAGGAAACGAAAGAGTGGATGGTCAGAGATCTCTATAGGGCACCTGCATCTCTGATGAGGGCACTAAATAATGGATATCTGTTGGGAATATTGCTTTCATTTAACAGTACTTTTAGTTTATGGTTTAAGATGAAAAGCAAGGAAAATTAATAATTTATGGACCTGGTTTGTGATCACACATATTGTAAAGTTGATGTTGTAATCTACAGATAAAATTAATTGAGGCAGGATTATATACCACACACATTTTTAATGTCAAATACTGTCTGCATAACATGTTCCAGAATGCAGCTGACGAGGTTGAACTTTTTGCCGTTTTCCTAACCCTTACTCTTTAACTACACATTTTCTTATGCTTAAATGTATTACCTTTCCCTTGGAGCCACGCTGAGTTGCTTTACTAGGGGGCTCCTCAAACATCTTGTTTTCACTGTCATACATCTAAAACAAAAGCCATCCTTTGTTATTGTCAGTCCAGTCAAGTATCTATCTAACAGTAATGGATACTCCAGTGATACAAATCCTTGATGTTTAACATTAGTTTCACCTCGTTAAATGTTTTTATTAGTTTTTCAATATGTAATGGTTAAAAACCAAGGGGTGAAAAAAGAAAAGTAATATATTTAATGTTAAACCTTCCAAACTAACAAGCCATTCAGATTAATATGTTTCGCCTATGCCCCGCTTTGACCATCAATGTACATATCAGAGAAACTTACTTAAGCGCAAAAACCTAATATTGATGGAGATGCTGACAAAGTCAATGGACCATGAACAGTAGGAAGGTGGTCTAGGTTACCTCTATAAAATAGAACCTGTCAGGTGGTCTAGCTTACCTCCGTGAAATAGAACCTGTCAGGTGGTCTATCTTACACCTGTAAAGTAGAACCTGTCTGGTGGTCTAGCTTACCTCTGTAAAGTAGAACCTGTCTGGTGGTCTTGCTTACCTCTGTAAAATAGAACCTGTCAGGTGGTCTAGGTTACCTCTATAAAATAGAACCTGTCAGGTGGTCTAGCTTACCTCCGTGAAATAGAACCTGTCAGGTGGTATATCTTACCCCTGTAAAGTAGAACCTGTCTGGTGGTCTAGCTTACCTCTGTAAAGTAGAACCTGTCAGGTGGTCTTGCTTACCTCTGTAAAGTAGAACCTGTCAGGTTGTCTAGCTTACCTCTGTAAAATAGAACCTGTCAGGTGGTCTAGCTTACCTCTGTAAAGTAGAACCTGTCAGGTGGTCTAGCTTACCTCTGTGAAATAGAACCTGTCGGGTGCTTTAGAGAAGTAGTCATCAAGATCCCTGATATTCTCGCTGAAGACCACCTCACACTTGCCCCTGATCAGCTGAAACTCCACAAAGGCTTCTGTTAATAAATAAATAAATAGAATTATGTCAGTGTGACATTAAAGCCGCTCACCACTTTAAATTTAATTGCTTCAGTAACACATTGAGCATCAATATCTACTATAATACCTCAGATATGTGTTCTGTATTCTGCTAATTGAAAATCAGTTCATGTGATGATGTTGCCTTTGGAGTTTCCAACATCAATCACTCCTAAATGATGCCTTAAAAACATTTCTCCCTCTCCTCTTTTTTCACCCTCTTTTGTGACGCATTATTGTAATTTTCATTAATTAGCATCCTCCAATGATGTGACATGAGCATTTACATGCAGAATGGCAATCAGTGAATGGGTAATAAAGAATAGGTGCATTTTGAAAAGAGACATTGAACTCCTTTTATTTATATTTATTTTTTATTCATATTAATAATAATTATTAATATATGTAGTGACTTTATTTACTGTCATTGAATATACAATTCATCACAAAATCTCACAAATGTTCTTGAGAATATATTTGAACTTTATATTTCTCAATGCGACTTTACCTACGTAAGAGTTATTTCCCTTACACGGGATTGGATAATATTTTGACACAGCGCGAATTCTTGTCAAACAGCAGCGGCAGTTGTGTCATGTTCTTAAATTGTTACATTTTCATAAATAAATACACCAGAAATAGCATGCTGTGCTACAGAAATGTTTGATAAGCAGTTCACATATCGTCTCGTCTTAGAGCCATGTCCGTGGTAGCAACGATGGTTTATTACCGTTATCAACCTAAGCTTTGTTTGTTTGTTTGTTTGATTTTGTTTAACGTCCTATTAACAGCTAAGGTCATTTAGGGACAGCCTCCCCTGTGTGCAAGATGCATGCGTGTAGTGTATGTGTGTGTATTTTGGGAGGCTGCGATATGTTCGTGTTCGTCTCCTTGTGATAGCGCAGAACTGATGCCAACTTTATAGTGCTACCTAACTGAAACATACTGCCGAAGACACCCAGCAGGACGCCCCACCTGGTCACATTATACTGACAACGGGCGAACCAGTGATCCCACTCCTAATTTGCTGAGCGTTAAGCAGGAGTATAAACTACCATTTTTAAAGACTTTGGTATGTCTCGGCTAGGGGACAGAACCCAAAGCCTTCCTCACGATATGATCAAAATAGAGGTTATACTTTATCACGCATACTGTTTATAATATATATATTTACTTCTTCCTTGTACTTACAAAATATAAAAAGCTAGACCGGACAAACGTGCGCTTTCTCGAATCAGAGTCATGAAAACAAACACTCCTCAATCCGAGTTGCTAAAACGCTCAAACCTAGTGCATGCATTTCACCACCACAACACTCGTAGAATGCACCGGAGATAAACATTTTGTTTGGAGAAGAGTATCAGAAGAATTTATGTAACCCACAAGTGAGTGTCAGAGATTCTACTTTCTATTTACTATAACGAAGCTATATAGCGGAAGCATGCAAGACTGAATTATGCGCACGCACCCCGAACGGAAGTGGGTCCGTTATTTCGTTCTCTGGACAGAATCAAAAATGAAATAGGCAACATTTGATATAGCACCCTATCTAGCTAACATAAGCCACTCTAAAGCGCTTTACAGTACATAGACATACAATTTTATACAGTCAATACGATTAGCATATATATTAATCAATACAATATTGAGGAATTCGCAGGAGGTGCCTTATCAGGCGCTAACTTCTAGTCTTATGCCACTTGGCTAATATCTCCCTATGTGTGTATGCCTGTGTGTGCTGGAGATGTAATGTGTTCTGTTTGTAGTGGGACCGTGCTTCCAACGGTACCATTTATAGTGCCACCTCACTTGAATGCTACAGCACAGATACTGCAACACCCACCCCAGACCATTTTATACTCCACCTGGCTTGTTGGAGTTGTGTGGGCAGGAGAAAACCACTTTCTCTGAATATTCCATGCGTACGGCGACTTCGGGGATCGAAACCCCAGCCGCCTGCTTGGAAGGCCGGAGTGTTAACCACTCGACCAATCCGCAACAGATACAAAGAAGAGTGCAGTCTACTCCCTTTCACCGTGTGAGATGTGCTAGCCATACAGCTCCATGTTAAATGAGGTGATCAGGCTATGATGAATATTTTTTTCAAACTGTGAAATAAATCCTTATGCTGCACTTACTGTTTCAATCAAGTTTCTCAATTTGTCCAAGCACAAGATGTATACATATTTTTTTTAATTTATTCATGAATTCAGGAAGTATTCCTCAGAATGGTGACGTGACGGCTGTGATTACCTTCTTCAGACCAGTAAAGCATGTTCATGTCTGTATGGTATCCTGCCGTCACTCCCTTGTGAGTGTCTTCTGGCCTGCAACATACACCACACTCACATGTACCAACCAGGATTTGTTTTTTCTTTATTTTAATGGATGTATACCCTCTGTGAGAATGAAGAATAATTTAGATTTCATCAGGGTTTCCTTAAATAATTCCAAAAATACTCCCCGGACAAGATAAACCACTGTTAACTAACATGTCTTCCTTTCATTTAGAAGGATACATGATGAAAGTGAATATAAAGTCACCTGTAGAACTTGGCAACCTTTAATCTGATATCTGTCAAGTCCGAAATCTTGGAGGTGAGAGACTTCTTACAGAAGATCTGGAGTACTCTGGCGATCCTGAATGGGCTGGGCAGTTTGTCATTGGAGCCCTTGATGTACTCAGTCTTCCTGTAGGCCTCTGGGTACAGGTCTTCGTCTAACTGTAAAGCAGGAATGTGACCAACATGTCAAGTAAGTTTTAGTATACATTTGAACAAATATCTCAAAATTTATATTTACATTTAAACTCTTAAAACTGGAGCACAAGTTGACAGTAAATTCAACACTTACATCAGCTTTTTCCTGTTTTGGTTTTTTGGGTACAGCAGGTTTTACATTGAAGTTGAAGCCATTAGGTTCTATGTAACAACAGTCCCCGATTTTGAACTCCAAACCATCTCGCTTGACAGAGTTGTAGTAAACCCGGCTAGATGTTCCATCATCTACACTTATCTCCTCACCTAGGGCAGGGTTCTCTCTCTGTAAATATACAAATCCTGATATAACAGTGGTTGTGCTGTTCTCTCTCTGTAAATATACAAATCCTGATATAACAGTGGTTGTGC